CTTTCCCTTTGTTCCCCACTTCAGCCGATTAGTTCTTCCACCATAACATCCCTCCCCCTCAGCTTCAACTTGTCCCCAAGGTTGAAAGGTTGGAAAAGAAGTCTGTATATTTTCAGCATCAGCCCCATGTTGCCTCATCCGGGTTGGAGCCTGTCCATTGAACTAACTATTGGGTTACAACTACTCCTTTTCGATTAATCATGCGTGCAGATAGTACCCGTAGTGGCTGATTGTGTTCTCCAGAATTCTGGTTTGGAATTGGGAGTATTCGAACTGGAACTTCCCGTTCCCCAATCTTCTTTTTGAGTAAGGAGACATGAAAAACTGGGTGGATGTGAGAAGTAGCAGGCAGCTCTAGTTTATAAGCCACCAGGCCAATTTTTTGAAGTATCTGGTAAGGGCCATAATACCGTGTAAATAGCTTATTGTTAAACATTCTTGCTACTGTTTGTTGAGCGTATAGATGTACTTTCAGGTAAAACCAGTCGCCCACCTGAAATTCCCTTTCACTTCTGTTTCGATCGGCGTAATGTTTCATTCTAGCTCTAGCTTGAGCCAAATTCTCCCTTAGAAATTGGTCTATTCTGTGTCTCTCCTGGAGGATTTCCTCTACTGCTGCGATGTTAGTCTGCTGATATGGGCCCAAAGCTAACTGAGGAGGTTTAAGACCGTATAGTGCCTTAAATGGGGTCATTTTGATGGCTGTGTGTAGGGTGGTATTATACCACCACTTTGCTAAACTGATCCAGTTGCTCCATTGTTTAGGCTGTTTATAGGCCATACACCGAAGGTACATTTCTAAACACTGATTCAACCTCTCTGTTTGACCATCGGTTTGGGGATGAATGTTGTACTCAACTGTAGTTTGACCCCCCAATTGCTCGAACAAACTCTGCCAAAAGTCATCGGTAAATATTCTATCCTTGTCAGTGACAATTCTTTGTGGCATTCCATGTAATTTATAGATGTGATCCAAGAATAACTTGGCAATAGAAGAGGCATTAATGGGTGAGCTAAGGTCAGGAAGT